TTTTTTGTTTTGTGTTAAATGAAAATGTGGAGGAAAATGTAATCTTACTTTCATCTATGAACATTATTGCATAAATCTTTGGCGCAAATAAACAGAGTATAGAAACAAGCCCTGTCAACATGAACATGACAGAGAACAACATCTGCTGGTGCTTTGCCCGATATGTTATGAAATATGTGGGGACAAATGACAACCAAAGAAACAGTGTAGCACACACAGATAACAGAATGTGTAAGGTTTCATTGAAATTGTCAGGTAGTTTTCTTGTTAGAAAAGCCAATGCTGCAGTTGCTAAGACAAGCACCAAGTTGTAGACTATTGAAGCAATCATGCTCCACATTGGGAAATCACAAACCACTTCTACAAACTTCTCCGTCTCAACAGGCATTCTCTTTATCACATCTGGCGGAGCCGTCAGTATCACTCCAACAGATATGCCAACCTAAATGATAATATACAAAATAACATACCTAGATATAGCTGCGTGCACACTTAAGCATATATTTCTAATACAAAATTTAACAAATTGTAATAAAGTAGATATATTATCAATTTGAACTGTTTTTATCACTGGTATATATGCTCTTACTCCTAGAGGCAGTATGACCTTCTCAATGTCAGGCCATACTGACTTGAAAAACTAGGTTATACTTGCCTTGATAGTGATATAAGAGGAAAAAGTTATCAACATAATATTTACAAACTGTATTATTTATATATACTATTTTAATCTGACATATATTAGTTATAACTGTGTATATAGTTTTCAACTTTCTTACCTGAATTGTGATCAGTGCAAAGGTTATGATCAGTGATTTCTTTATCTCAATCCACTTGGGAAGATTCAGCTGCAGTTTAGAACCTGCCCTGAATATGTTGTAAATTCTTGCAACCTTAACCAGTAAAGGTGCATATAGAATTGTGAAGCCAATGCTGAAGCCAACACGTCCACAGTAGCACATGATCACACTGGGGTTGAGAAGATACACAAAGCTGATCCCATACACAAGCACTGTGGCAACAAGAAGAAAGTATATAAACTCCTTTGTTGAAGCTTTGATTATCTTTTCATTCCTCCAATATATGAACAAGCCAAGTATACATAATGTTGCAGTCATTCCAAGTGATGCTAAAACAAAGAGCGATGTGAATAAATAGTCAGATGTTAGTTTTATAAAGTCTGGTTCTATCAGAGTACATGTTGAAGCTGTGCTTTCATCTGGCCATTCAAATGTTGGACAATGTGAACAGTATGAATTGTTGATGGTGATGTCATTAGCGTAACATTTGAAGCAGTCCCAACAACATGGCAGCTCAAGCTGAATTTTGATTTCACCGACACCACATTCCTGGCTGCAGATAGAATTGGGAGCAGTTTTGCTGTCATTATACCAATACACATCTCGAGTGTAGAGGTCAAGTGTTTCTGTTGTACGAATCCAAGAACCAATTTCAATAACTTCATATCCAGTGTCCCTGTTTGGGATGAAGTGCTTGATCACATAACCAGCTCCTTTTGCATCGCCATTTTCATCAAATGATATTATACCAGAACTGCCTCTGAAGTCCAGTTCCCTTATAAATGCTGTCAAGTCAGACTTCTGTACACAATGCAAGAGATCTTGCTTATTTCCTATATCTTCAACACAATGTTTCTTGATGAGATTGTCTAGTGCATACCCAAAGGCATAAACTGTGTCAATTAAGAGAGGAACCCAAGGAGTCTTTTTATGCTTTTCTGATTCTGTAAGAGATTTGAAGTTTGTACAGAGTGGACGGTTGTCAGTAGAATTGACATCCCAGATGCAGTCAAATGCTAGCTCCCAGAAAGCCTTAAACCAGGGATTTTGGGGATTGTTCCATGGCGTCAAGTTTTCATAATGTGTGATGAAGTCATAGTCAGGTTGAGCTGTCAATTGAATAGAAAATGCCCCATGTACTGTTTCTGGGAACTTCTCTACATCTGGTTCTTCAAAGGTATCTGATCCAATCCAGATGAATTCGCCTTGTGCATTGTATTTGTCAATATAGGTCAACAATTCTCCGATGTGTATTGGTTCCAAGAATAAAACTACAACCTTTGCCTTCTTGCTTCTAAGGTTTTGCACTATTTCATCATAGATTGTATAATCGGTGATAGTGAGGGGGAGCATACCTAGGTATGCATTACACAGACCTTTAGTTTTTGCAATGCGATTTACATGTCCCATACCATTGGCTCCATATGCTCCTTCAGAGTATACCATAGAGTAATAGCTCCAGCCAAAGTGTAACATGACATCAACCATGGCTTGGGCCTGGAACCTATCTGGTGGCACCACCCTACTGAAGTATGGATAGTCATCATTGTTGCTCAGTATATCACTTGTAGACACAGAGGCAATCTGGGGAATCGAGAAAATATTCAAGAAATTGGCAATCAGTTGATTTCTTTGACTTCCAATTTGAGTAACAAGTCCCACGATTTCCTTGAACCTTGATTTGGTATTTGATGATATGTTGTTGCAATCTTTGGTTTCCTCACTCATTGGTATGAAATGCAACATCCCAGCAAGACTTGCAGATGTTCGTAGGCAAATATCAAATGTTGTGAAGCCTAGTGTCACATCTGGTAGAATGTCCCTCCTTGCATTGATCTTGTTGACTGCGAATGCAACTGCTTCTACATGCTGCATTGATATCAGATAGTAGAGACTTTCACTACAAAGTGCCCCTGCAGTTGCTCCTGGGCCTGATATACTAAACGGTGCTGCTAGTATCAAGTCACCATCTTGATCATATGTCTTTGAAGACAATTTATTTTGAATTTGGAAATATCCAAAAACATGCCCTATTGTTGTCAGTGTCAGAATTAAAACTATCTTCATCTTATCTAGATTCATATTTGATTAAATGTGGAATTTCACAATCCAAATTAAAGAATGATCTCCAATTACTTGACCACTCCTACCTCTCACTTTACAGACACTTTGTGTTGAGCAACCCTTTATTCTTGGCTTATAATTTATTGATTGGCTTTTTTTAATTGTTTTCATGTTATTAGCTTAACATAGGCTCATTAGATAAGGCACTTAACATGCATTTCTATGAAACTAACAGGACACCTACTTATGTATATCTAGGTGTTGTTTTCTACTTAGCTTTACTATAATATACAGTAGTATTCTTATGTAATCAAAATTACATATGTCCAATTTCATTATTATATTACCTGCATATCTCAGGCCAATTGGCCTTTCAAACTAATCTTGACCCTTATCAAAGAACAAAAGAAACTGGGGAATATTAGCGAGATTAATAATGTCATGGTTCGCAGGCAGAAATGTTTGTAAACAAAATTGGATAAAGATTGTGAATATTTGCAACACTTTTTTCTCATTTTTTTATTTTTTATTTTTTTATTTTTACAAGTCACCTTTGTCTTGATTTAGTGAATGTTTCTCAACAGATTAGAGGTGGAACCCTAACTAGGGAATCTTGTGTACTTTGTGATTGAAGCTTAAACAATGATCCTTGAAAGAATAAATTACCTTTGGAAGATGATTTATATTGTGTCAATGGGTATTTAGCCTGAAAGTTTTCAGAAAAGTTCAAAATCCTTAGAAATTGAATAAAATAAAAATAACTGTAAATCAAAGTGCTTCTACTAAGAAATAATGCACTGAATTTTAAAATGTCATAATATTGAAGAAAATCCAAAGCCTTAGTTGTTAAACATGCAAATTTCTTAAAATCACATTAAAAAGTGAGACTTTGTGAGATGTTAAAGCAGTATAGCAAAAAGTCAATAATGCATTTAATAAAATGTCAAATTTATTATATTTAGAGACACATTCGGGAAATATTTCTCTTATTCTGACATGGAAAATTTGGACGTTTTTTTGTTTTTCTCTCCCTTTAAATATCAGTTTGACATTTCAATAATAGCTACATATTGAGTCAATGTTATAGTTGTTATTTATCTTTACATAAACAATGTAATCAAAGAACCAATATTGTCATAATTAACTTATTTAGTCTCAGTGACATCCCTAATTTGTTGAAAACAACAGAATGTTTGGAAAGGTGTGAATTGAGAGTTAATTGGTTTATCCTCATAAAGAACTGAATGTTTTATGTTTGGATTAAGAAAAAGGTGTGAATCAAGAAGATAATTGATTTATCATTATTGGAAATTACCTGGATGTTTTTGATTTGAATTAAGAGTAAGGTGAGAATCTGGGAGATAATTGGTTTATCCTTATTGTAAATTAACTGGATGTTTTTGATTTGGATTATGAACAGGTCTTACCTGTTTTATATCCCATTGGTCTGTTATGATAGCTAAGATTCAATCAGTAAATGTTTTATAATCACTAAGACAACACAGAAGATGTCACATTCTTGAGCTAAACACTGAGTACTTGAGATTGGTTAGGAAGATACTCCCACACTTAATTCTACTGTTTGAGGCTTGATCAACTTGATTTCCAGGAACTTTTGCAACCAACATCTGCCCTGACTGGCAATGGCAACTACTTTTCACTCCTGGCAATAAACTTTCTGAACTGGTTTCTTATTGGGCAATGGTGTGAATGTCAGTGTGGTCATTTTTCAATAATTTTATATGATGATATATGACTGGCAATAGCAACTACTTTTCACTCCTGGCAATAAACTTTTTAAACTGGTTTCTTATTGGGAAATGGTCTGAATCTCAGTGTGGGCATTTTTCAATAGTTTGATATGATGATAAATGTCCTTATAAATTCTTATTGTACACATAATGACTTTTTTACTGTCCCTCTAAATATTTTGTCATACAGTCAAGAAATTAATACACATGTTACATAAGAGTTGGAATTTGACAGTTGGTATATGGATAAATGAACATGGAACAAACGTTCCAATGTGAAAATCATCGAAAACATAAAAAAGTACTGAATATTAGAATCATTAGGAGAAATTTGTTTACTTTATTATGAAAACTATACATGTGCATTATGTGTTGTGTTTTCCAGTGAGAATGCCAACCAGATTGCTAAGCTGTTAACACGTATGTGCCTCACTGCAGAGGTACAAGATGATGGTAGGACTCTCTCTGTAGAGGTGCCACCAACTAGAGCAGGTAATTAATAAGTGTGGTTTAATTTAATTAATTCACAACATAATACATTACATGTACTTTCTATAAACTAAAATAATAAAAAAAAACTGTGTTTTCATCTTGTTTTTGTGGAAACAATTTCTTTTGATAATTCTTCAACTGCTATATTTTTAATTGATTTTTTTCACTATGTTCTTTTCAAAAGTCTCTGTATTAAAAGCATATCCTGTTCTCTGCCATTTAAAAAAATGATTATAACTCTTAGTAATTGTATACTATTTATGTGACCTCATTACAGATGTTATTCACGGCTGTGACATCATGGAAGACGTTGCTATTGCACATGGCTACAACAACATCAATCAAACCATACCTAAGACTAACACTATAGGAGAACAGTTTGCTATCAACAAGCTGACAGACCTTCTCAGACTTGACATAGCTGCTGCAGGATTCACAGAGGCCCTTACATTTGCACTGGTTGGTACACTGATACACTTATATATGGCCCCCATGCATCTAGTCTCTGGTCTCAAATCTCCCTATTCAACCCTTTGGTCTTCCTCTGACTCTGGACTAGTCTAGGACCTTTCCCTTTCTCAATTTTCTTACCATGTGTCTGAAGATGTTAAGTAGTATATGTGTCTGTATGTGAAGGGGGGGGGGGGGGGGGGGTAAGTGTAGAGAATTTATGCAACACTGAAAAATGGCTTGTCTTTTGCAAATCACTCTACCCATTGAATTAATTTGTAATTTGTGCAGTGTTAAAAAAGTAATATGATAATAGATGGATACATCTTCTATAATATCTATAATATTATTGCTTCAATGGTTGCATTTACTGTTCATTTACACATAGCTAGGCATCAAATTTCAGCCAATCACAACATAGAATTTAGTATCACTTGCATTCTTAAAATTACAACATTTGAATGACTACTTTGAGAACAGTGAAATTGATGACCCTCATCAATCACTGGTCCCCACTTGGTTATAAAGACGTTACGTGTTTATAACAAAATGCATGAACTTCCGTCAGGGGAAATGTTATTTTCATCATTTTCACCATTTTAAAATGATTATAACTCTTAGTTTTGCATACTTTTATGTAACCTTATTACAGATGTTATATCATATATATGGCTGTGAAAAGAAGTTTCCCTTCAAAAGTATGTTTTTTTAGTGAAATGTACAATGTTTGCAATATTTGCAATGTGAGAAAATAATTTTAGCACATGCCTTTATGAATTGTGGATGAATTAATGTACCCATGTCTTGTGTCCAAGCCTTTGAATTTGGACTTTCCCCCTCAATCAGAATCTTGATAATAAGACATTCTTGGTTTAAGTCATCAACAATGAATCCATTGCCTTCAGCTTAATAATTGGAGTGTCAGGTGTTATCTCAAATAAACAGGTGAATATGAAGTGAATATAGTAGTACCTGTATGAGGAGTTAGGTAACATAGTCAGATATTATACGGGTCCATGTAATATTGGAAATTAAATAAAATGCAGTGCGATGGCCACTTCATGAAATTGCACTTACTCATATCTCATACTTGTCTCATAGTGGTAATGCAGAAGTTTTAAAAATGCCATTTTTGGACTTCTTATCTCAAACCCTTTCCTCCATTTTTCCAACCAAACTCCACTATGTGTCTTGTTAAATTTGTTTATATTATTTTAGGAATGGACATATTGTAAACAAGAAGTAAATAATGAGATTTATTGCTTTATTTGTATTTTCTAGTGTTCTAAGGATGATGTTTCTGACAAGTTGCTTAAGAAAATAGAAGATGCCAAAGCTGTTCATATTGGCAACCCCAAAACTGCAGAGTTTCAGGTACGACAGAATTCACATATAGGCCTAAAATGTTTATTTTACTTCAGTAAAATTCTGTTTTTGATTTACCCTAGTTGTGAGTTCTCTCCTTCAAGTGTTATCATTAGGCTAATTCCAAGCATTACATCCTTATGGATCAAATCTAAATTCTTAAAATCATACTGCTGTGTATTTCTGAGTCATGAAGTTCCAAAATGCTGTGTAACACTTTTACTTTAGAATCCATTTTCAGTATATGTATTTTTATAACAGAATTATAAAAAGTAGAAGTTGGTATCAATTTCAATTCCCTACAACTAACTTCCTAAACGATCAAAATCAACTTTATTGGACATAATGTGTTCTATATTTTTAGGTTGCCAGGACAACTTTGCTGCCTGGTATACTAAAGACAATATACTGTAACAAAAAGATGCCACTACCCATGAAATTATTTGAAATCTCTGATGTTATCATAACAGATTCTGAAAAAGGTATCTAGTGCTGTCCAAAAATATGTTGACCCATCCCCCTTTAAAAATGCATTTGGACGTTTTTGATTTTTCAAAATAAAATTGCTTTCTTTTAATTTTATAAATAAGTGTATGCTAATTGTACTGAAAACTTATTTACCTCTAAGTAACAGAGAGTCACAATAGTTTAAATACATTAATATACTACAAATTACAAATAATTAATTTACATGATATGTTAGTGCTAAATAGGTGAATAAATAAAATAAGCGTCATATAGTTAATGCACACTTCTATAGTAGTGATCAAGGCCATCTAATGAAATGTAAAAAGTTTACTCATGAATGAATTTCATTGTAGATGTTGGGGCTAGAAATGTAAGACATTTCTGTGCAATAAACTACAATAAGAGCCCAGGCTTTGAAGTGATTCATGGTCTTTTAGACAGAACCATGCAGTTACTGGAGGTTCCTTATGATAAGACTAATGGTTATTGCATGAGGGCAAGCAATGGTAAGAAAACAATCCCGGGATTGTGTGTATTATAGCATCATGACTGTCTATTCAGTCACCCTTCAATAGTAAAGATCTTTTAATTTAGATTTTTAAGATTTAAGATGCTGTTTTTTCAATATATCCCAGAAACTGTCCAAAATCTAATAAACAAGGAAGAAATGATTTCAATCAATATTGTTAATGCCTCAGTTAGAAACTTGATTTTGATTTTTGTGAAAGAGCTGTCAACCTCTGAACAGGTCAATAATAGCTCAATACTGTATTTCTTGCTGAAGAATCCAATTTATTAAATGTCATGTATTTACAGATCCCAGTTTCTTCCCTGGCCGTTGTGCTGAAGTGCTGCTCAGAGGGACACCTATAGGCAAACTTGGTGTACTACATCCTGATGTACTAGCAAAGTTTGAACTGAACAATCCTTGTGCTGTTATAGAACTCACAATAGAGCCTTTCTTGTGAGAGGAATATATACTTACACATATAAATGTATAATTGTAACTTATTTGATATGTATGAAATATATGGACATTATTTGAATACACTCCAATCGTGTAAGATATTGGTTGCATGGACACTGGATTAAAGAAGAGTATATGGATGTACTCGTACATTATACCTTATGAAAGACATTTTCTGCAAGTCTAAACAGAGGAAAGGTACTGCAATAGTGAAATCTGGATTGTTTAAATCATTGTACCTCATATAAGGCCATTTAATAAAATGGAATTATTTGCACTTAAAATTGACCTCAAAGTGTTTTTTGGTCATTCCTGGTCATATTTACATAACTGAAATTGTATTAATGTACACGTAGTCTCAAATTGAAAATATTGAGTGAAATAAAGATCCCTTTTCTCTCTTTTGCCCAATAGGATTTTCAGACTTTAAAAGTTGTAATGATTGATGACATTTAGGTTATAATCATGCATGGGCTTAGCTTACAATGAGGCAAAGAAAATTTACTCCTAGAATGAAAATATGAAAAAGAATCAGATGATGCGTATTATGATTTTCCTTTATCACTTAATATGAAAATAAACACAGTAAAGTTAATTAATGTATAATATGTACTATTTCAAGAATAGAAAAAAATAGACCAACAATTCGATTGAAAAATATACATGTAGTGCCAAAGGTTTCAGTGGTGAAACTTGCAATAGTCACTTAATTTCATGATTTTTCAAAAAGTGTTGGTTGAATCTGTCTAAAACTGGAATGGCATACTGGCATACTTTTCACTGAACCCAAACATGTGATTAAAAAGAAGGAAAAGTGAACCAATTGATTTTTAATGTGCATGTGATGAAACTGAACATTTGTAATTTGATTCCAAAAGGCTACTATATTACGGTAAACCTGCGTAGGATTCAACACAGAAATGCAAAAGTAGCTACCCCGTTAATTTCATATAAGTGCATGTTAAGTGCCTTATATACATCATGGGCTTTCAATTAGAAGGGTATGCAACTCTGTGTAATAACATGAGACTTTCAAAATGAGCAGTGCCATGCTTCCCTTTTATGCGTAATATTTCAAAAAGTATTAGATAAATGTATATGTTTTAGTATTATTTTGATTAAAAATCAATTTTCAAAAGATATATTCAATCTCATGTAAAAGTAAACAAAAAGAACAATAAGAAAAAGTGGTATCAAGATGTTCTCTTTGAGTATTGAATTGTGGGTAAATATTCAAGAACACATTCCAATAAAAACATAATTTGTGGGGGAATGTTCACTTTCTGTATTGTCATAATTATGATGAATTCCATTTTTTATTAAATTATCAACATATATGTAGATAATCATGTTTTTATTTTTGAGTTATTTCTCTTAATCATCCATAAAGATACATACAATATAAGATTTTCTTGGAATGTGTACATTCTCCAATTTTGAAAACCCAAAGGCAATGCTTTTGTATGAAATATGGGAAGTTGCCTACCCTTCTAGTTGAAAGCCCATGTATACATCAAACAATTATCCAATGAGCCTATGTAATTGTAAGCCTATCAATAAATTATGTGCCAAGTATAATGAGTTGCTCATAAAAGTCTAACACAAGGTCTCTTAGAGTGAGAGCTAGAAGTGGCCATATAATTGGAGATCATCTTTCGATTTTGAATGTAAAAATGGACATCTAACTAAAATACCAAATATGAATCAAGACAAGATGAAGATAGTTTTAATTCTGACACTGACAACAATGGGGCATGTTTTTGGATATTTCCAAATTCAGAATAAATTGTCTTCAAAGACATATAATCAAGATGGTGACCTGATATTAGCAGCACCTTTTATAATATCAGGCCCAGGAGCAACAAGAGATGCACTTTGTAGTGAAAGTCTATACTATCTCACATCAATGCAGCTTGTGGAGGCAGTTGCTTTTGCAGTCAACAAGATCAATGCAAGGAGGGACATTCTACCAAATGTGACACTAGGTTTCACAACACTAGATATTTGCCTACGAACATCTGCAAGTCTTGCTGGGATGTTGCATTTCATACCAATGAGTGAGGAAACCAAAGCTTGCGACAACATATCATCAAATATCAAATCAAGATTCAAGGAGATTGTGGGACTTGTCAGTCAAATTGGAAGTCGAAGAAATCAACTGATTGCCAATTTTTTGAATATTTTCTCGATTCCCCAGATTGCCTCTGTGTCTACAAGTGATATTCTGAGCAACAATGATGACTATCCATACTTCAGTAGGGTGGTTCCACCAGATAGGTTCCAGGCCCAAGCCATGGTTGATGTCATGTTATACTTTGACTGGAGCTATTACTCTATGGTATACTCTGAAGGAGCATATGGAGCAAATGGTATGGGGCATGTAAATCGCATAGCAAAAACTAAAGGTCTGTGCAATGCATACCTAGGTATGCTCCCGGTCACTATCACCGATTATACAATCTATGATGAAATAGTGCAAAACTTAAAAAGAAAGAAGGCAAAAGTCGTAGTTTTATTCTTGGAACCAATACATATCGGAGAATTGTTGACCTATATTGACAAATACAATGCACAAGGTGAATTCATCTGGATTGGATCAGATACCTTTGAAGAACCAGAAGTAGAGAAGTTCTCAGAAACAGTACATGGGGCATTTTCTATTCAACTGAAAGCTCAACCTGACTATGACTTCATCACACATTATGAAAACTTGACTCCATGGAACAATCCCCAAAATCCCTGGTTTAAAGCTTTCTGGGAGCTAGCATTTGACTGCATCTGGGATGTTAATTCTACTGACAACCGTCCACTCTGTACAAACTTCAAATCTCTTACAGAATCAGAAAAGCATAAAAAGACTCCTTGGGTTCCTCTCTTAATCGACACAGTTTATGCCTTTGGGTATGCACTTGACAATCTCATCAAGAAACATTGTGTTGAAGCTATAGGTAATAAGAAAGATCTCTTGCATTGTGTACAGAAGTCTGACTTGACAGCATTTATAAGGGAACTGGACTTCAGAGGCAGTTCTGGTATAATATCATTTGATGAAAATGGCGATGCAAAAGGAGCTGGTTATGTGATCAAGCACTTCATCCCAAACAGGGACACTGGGTATGAAGTCATTGAAATTGGTTCTTGGATTCGTACAACAGAAACACTTGACCTCTACACTCGAGATGTGTATTGGTATAATAACAGCAAAACTGCTCCCAATTCTATCTGCAGCCAGGAATGTGATGTCGGTGAAATCAAAATTCAGCTTGAGCTGCCATGTTGTTGGGACTGCTTCAAATGTTACCCTAATGACATCACCATCAACAATTCATACTGTTCACATTGCCCAACATTTGAATGGCCAGATGAAAGCACAGCTACAACATGTACTCTGATAGAGCCAGACCTCATCAAGCTAACATCTGACTATTTATTCACATCCCTCTTTGTTTTAGCATCACTTGGAATGACTGCAACATTATTTATACTTGGCTTGTTCATATATTGGAGGAATGAAAAGATAATCAAAGCTTCAACAAAGGAGTTCATATACTTTCTTCTCATTGCCACAGTGCTGGTTTATGGGATCAGCTTTGTGTATCTTCTCAACCCCAGTGTGATCATGTGCTACTGTGGACGTGTTGGCTTCAGCATTGGCTTCACAATTCTATATGCACCATTACTTGTCAAAGTTGCAAGAATTCACTACATATTTAGGGCAGGTTCTAAAATGCAGAGGAAGCTTCCCAAGTGGATTGAGATAAAGAAATCACTGATCATAACCTTTGCACTGATCACAATTCAGGTAGGAAAGTTGAAAACTATATACACAGTTATAACCAATATATGTCAGATTAAAATAATGTATGTGTAAATAATATACTTTATAAATATTCTGTTGATAACTTTTTCCTCTTCTATCACTTGCAAAGCAAGTATAACCTAGTTTTTCAAGTCCAGTATGGCCTGACATTGAGAAGGTCATACTGCCTCTAGGAGTAAGAGCATATATACCAGTGATAAAAACAGTTCAAATTGATAATATATCTACTAAATTACAATTTGTTAAATATTGTATCAGAAATATATGCTAAAGTATGCATGGAGCTATATCTAGGTATGTTATATTGTATATTACCATTTAGGTTGGAATATCTGTTGGAGTGATACTGATGGCTCCTCCAGATGTGATAAAGAGAATGCCTGTTGAGACAGATAAGTTTGTAGAAGTGGTTTGTGATTTCCCAATGTGGAGCATGATTGCATCAATAGTCTACAACTTGGTGCTTGTCTTAGCAACTGCAGCATTGGCTTTTCTAACAAGAAAACTACCTGACAATTTCAATGAAACCTTACACATTCTGTTATCTGTGTGTGCTACACTGTTTCTTTGGTTGTCATTTGTCCCCACATATTTCATAACATATCGAGCAAAGCACCAGCAGATGTTGTTCTCTGTCATGTTCATGTTGACAGGGCTTGTTTCTATACTCTGTTTATTTGCGCCAAAGATTTATGTTATAATGTTCATAAATGAAAGTAATATTACATTTTCCTCCACATTTTCATTTAACAAAGATCACACTGCAAGAAATAGTGACAAAACAAGACCACAATCTTCAACTGACACAATAACTTAAAATCCCTGTGGGATAGGATCAGCAACTTAGGTGCCCCTCAATAATTTTACTTTGTAATGTTTTATCCATGTACATATAATATCAGGTGGGCAAAAAGTGGGCCGTTCTTTGATGTTACGCTTCTCCATTACCCTTTGTTCAAACTTTTGACCTTCATATTGTTAATATACTGATCAGTTTTCAAGATCATAGCTTGAATAATCTGTATACAAATCTGTACACAGGGTTAAAATGAAAACGTGGCCTCAAAAACAAACGTTCCGGTGATCCAAAGTTGCCAGGATTTCAGTTTAGGGGGTGCGCCTTGATTGTTGAAATGGAAGCCGATAGATGAGCAAAGAAGGCCAAAATACATGTCAAAATCTAGGGGAAAAAAACTGTCGTTTTAAAGAAAAGCTTTTTATCTTTACAATGACGAGTTGAGAAATTTAAAAACACCCCACTTACTGAACAGTCTTTTCACCCGCTTTAAATATATAAGGATGTAAACATGATAACTTTGAAGGCATGCATTTTCCAAAAGCTTTACATTGGCCATATTCCTTTACATTCTTGGACTTAGATTATTTTACGACTGAAAGTTGTGAACTTTTATTTTCTAACTTTTTTAATCTAAGTCCAAGAATGTAAAGGAATATGGCCAATGTAAAGGTTCTTGAAAATGCATGCTATAAAATTTCACTTTTATAAATCGTAAATAATCTAAGTCCAAGAATGTGTAAAAGGAATATGGCCAATGTAAAGCTTTTTAAAATTGCCTGAATTAAAAGTTCACATCTTTGCATCCTAATAGATTGAAAGCGGGTGACTAAGTTGGGTGTTTCAAATTTTGATAACTTGGTGAAAAGACTGTTCAGTAAGTGGGGTGTTTTTAAATTTCTCAACTCGTCATTGTAAAGAAAAAAGCTTTGCTTTAAAATGACATAAATTTTTGTCCCTAAATCTTGACACTGATGAAGGCCAAAGCCCAACCAACAAGGGGTCTGAAGAAATTTTAGAATTTGGATGTCATTTGCTACACCCTGAACATTTCTGAACATTTTGAAATGTACCAAAAAATTTAGAAAGTAGTTATTCTTCTCAAAATTCCATATTGTGAGGATCAAACTGAAATCGGCCAGGGCTTTATTTTTCTGGTTTTAGAGATGATTGCATGGTTTAAAACCTTCTCCCATGATTTTTTAAATATGCACAAATGTTCATACGAAGTCGGCAGTTAAACCATTGAAAGCGATATTTAGACTGAGGATTGAAAGCTGTTCACAATCATTTTCAGCTCATCTTTATTTCAACAAACTGAAAGTAACTTTTTGAGTTAGGAACACAGTGTCAATGATCTTTTTATGAAGCCGGGAAGTCAGAAAGCACAGTAATCATTTGCTGTTTGGTAGTTGCTCTTTCCATAAGAATTATAACACAATAAAGCGTACGTTGCAGATTATCCAAGTTGCGTCTAAAACAACTGGGCGAACATATACTTTTATCGATCAAAAAATATTATTTATTTCCCGATATTAATTAATATATTATATTTTGGGTTTACGTCTCATTTGTTAGACCAATTTTCATTAGATCACGAGAAAACGTTCATAACATTGCAAATATTAAGTATGAAAATAACAAAAATAAAAGACTTAAGGCCAGGGTGCATGTTTGGAATTTTGCTCCATTCCTCAATTGAGTGACATGTTATTTTTCAAACAGGAATCACTCCTTCCCCACATTGGGAGTGATTCAAATTAGAAAATTAACATTGTGATCCTATTGAGGGTTCCAGCCAAATTCCGAACATGCACCCTGGCCTTAACATTGTCTGTCTTTAAAATTGCAGCTTCGGGAATAGTACATTTTAGAGGATATTCCCTCAGGGAAATAATTTACACTATTGCCCTCAATGACAGTCACTATATTGTATAATGTTTGATTTCTCAGTTTTACGTCAGTTTGGTAAAACTACATTCAATATGACAAAAATAGCTTTCTAATGGTGTGCTTAAATGGTTAGTCACTTTTATCCTGACAAGAAAACGCACGTAACATTACATCGTGTATATCGGCAAATCATTTTTATTAGAAATACGTAATTTTCATTAAATATAGTAATAGGCTACGTTGAATTTCAGTAAACAATTATCATACATTCCAGTAAAAACGATAGGTTGGCAGGTCAGGACTGTTTGCTTGTCTTTTGGTTTAATCATTATTTTAACTTAATTGAAAAGAACAAAATGGGTAAAAGGTTGCTTACGATTGACATGTATTCAAGTCTTAAAAAACATTATTTTAAATGTCCACTTTCAGATGATTCTAATTGTGCCTATCATAAGGCATCGGGTTTTTAATATGAAGTCATATTGGAGTGTACGTTGATTCTATGTTAGTCTCGGGTTGATCTGAACCAAACTTGTAATTTCAAAAAGATCCCTCGAGTTTTAAAACTTTAACAATAAATCTCAGGAACTTCGCTCGTATTTATCACGTAAAACTAGAAAGACCATTCTCTGTTTGGAGAATGAATAGGTTCATCACTCTAATTGAGCGTTACCCCTGCTTCGGACTTTGATTTTTTACAGAATATAGATTTGAATGTCTTTTTTGAATAGTCATAATTTGATTTGGGTGATCTTTCTAGATTTCTATAAAAAAAATTATTAACGTAGTACACTTCTTTCTCCAAATCGAGACTTGAAGATTCATAATTTGATTTGGGTGATATTTCTATATTTTGCAGGAAAAAATTATTAGCCCAGGAGACTGTTCTTCAAACCGAGCCTAGCTATTTTGTTTGTAAATTGAACAATTACAGTGTCACGTCGTGATCTGACGTCGTATCATCAGGACTATATGGTTGGCCTATTAGTATAAAGAATGCATGCGTTGTTTACGGGTGTGTAGGCGTTAATTACGCTCGTGCAAATGTTAAATTACGCCCGTACAGACGTAAAATTACACCCGTGCAGACGTAACTTACGCCCGAGCAGACGTAAATTACGCCCGTATAGGCGTAAATTACGCCCGTAAAGGCGTAATTTACGCTCGTGAAAAAGTTAATTCTACAGGCGTTCAAATATCATATACAGGCGTAAAGTCACGGCGTTAAAAAGGTTAATTGCGGGCGTCAAGACGTTATTTAACACGCGCTGAGTAGCATCTTCGCGCCCGTCCAGTTTATGTTTAACGCCGTAAATTATGAACCAATCAACGCCTTGCTTACATAATTTTGGGAGTGGTGACTTAGACCATGTCTTTCTGAGATGCAATGAACAACAAGAAACTATCTCACAGAACCAAAGAACAACGCAAGGCTAACGCCCATCATACCAGGTGCACTTCTCACACTAGAGATCTCACTATGTATGAATAGGTACCAAACCTATCGCATATACTAATAATGTACACAAATACATTAAACTTTTGACTCTACCAAGAATTAACGAATATACCTACACTATAATGCCCCAAACCACTAACTTGTATCTAAACTCCACGATACACCAAAACACAATTCGGCATAACCTGCTACTTAATACATAACCTATCACAACCAACCATTACAACCAAGCACAACCCATAAGATCACCAACAACGCAACACAACCAGTGTTTGAAGAATTAGAACGCAACTTAACTCAAAATTACCAAGAACACAACCCACTGTCAAATTAGCACAACACAATTTGGCACAACCACACAACACAACCAAACTATCAAAACACAATCAGGAACAACCAAACTTAAATCCCAACACACACAACCAACTTTCTCGAACTAGAGATTACAACAATCACACAACACAACCGAACACAACCAAATACCTTACCCGACTAGGCACAATCGACCACCTATCATAACATAATCGGGCACAACCCGCCACCACCCATCATTTAACGATCAGGTACAACCAACCACACAACACAATCGGACTCAACCAGATACCTCAACCGACTGGGCACAACTCGCCCTCCGACCAGCATAACACAATCACAACATAACACAACGCATTTTAAAATTAACATAACACAATGAAGCACAACTCGAAACCAGGCTAAAACAAAACAACCAGACACAACCCAACTACAAGCCAACAACACAATACAGGACAACCCAAGACTACAGCCTTATTTTAACCTCCGAAAACACAACCAATTGTCAAATATACGCAACACAATTAGGCACAACCAAATAATAAAACAACGAAACCAAAACACAACCCATTGTTGATGAAGCCATCACAATTTTACACAAAACACAATAAGGCACAACCAAACCGGAATACCAAAACAACCAACCAACACTCTCTGAAAACAACGTCAATCACGCAACACAATCTGACACAACCACATACTTCATCCTACTGGGCACAACCCGCTTCCCGACCAGCACAACACAATTACAACATAACACAACCACTTTGCAATTAACATAACTTAATGAGACACAACCCGATACCAACTTACACAACACAACCAGGCTCAACCAGACAAACAACCACCAAAACACAATCGACTATCAAACTAACATAATCGAGCACAGCCAAACAACAAACCAACACAATACAACATAGCCAACGAGACCAAACTCAAATCAAACCATTGTTTAATCATCACAACACAACCTGGCACCAACCACCGCAACAGAGTCAGTCACAACCCGCTACTGAATCAATTAAACTACACTATTAAATACAATCAGGCACAATCTGCACCACCAAACTATGATACCAATTTACTTAGTACCCAACTAACTGTCTCCAACTGGAGACAATCCCAAAACAAAACCAAATCGGGGACAACCCATCCCCCTCCCCCTCATTAGGCTGCTGATGAAGAACATATCATGGACCACATGAAACATCTTGGGCCCTTACTGTGACTCACAAGTAAGGGAGAAGATCCACTACTGGATCGGGATGTCCGGCCTTTCTCTACAAAAATTACAATAGGAGTGACACCACCAATGTCATCATCCTAGGATCAACTAAATATACTCTGTCACATAATCACTGACGGTGGTTCGGGGAAGCTTAGACACTAGACTATGTCTCCCAGGTCCCCTAAACGAGACCGCTCAGCAATCAACACAGATTGCATGACTTATGCGTGTTCACAACGGGTGATGTCTCAAGACATGGTCTAAGTCACCACTCCCAAAACTAAAATGTAAGGGGGATTCTGATTGGTCCAGATTTTATATATCAACGCGCGCAAATTTACGCCTTATGCCCATAAAAGGCTATTCAACGCCCGAGATAAATGTCTGAACGGGCGCAATTTATAGTTTTAACGCCGATAATTTACGGGTGTAATTTTACGTCTGTACGGGCGTAATTTAACATTTGCACGAGCGTAATTAACGCCTACGCACCCGTAAACAACGCATGCATTCTTTATACTAATAGGCCAACCATAGTACTAAATGATTGTATCCGCCACTGGTTACATCACCTGTCACTGGTGTTATAAGTAGAGCACGACTACATCCATGTGATCCGCACTTAAGTCAGATTCATAATTCCATTCAGTACTATTGAATCTTACCCTGCGTGTAGAGTCTAGTTAAACTACAGAAAGACTAAAGACGAAGCTCTCTTTTAAGAAGTGAAGTCAAACGAATGCAAAGGCCGAGGGTAATTGAATCTTAAAAAAATAAGCAATCAAAGGACCATATTGAAACAATCATACAATGTCTAACTTTTGTTTATGTAACATGATCACTTTATAATATCGAAATGTAATGTTCAGCGTGTTGACAAAGTCTATTTACAATTACAATTTACAATTTTTGTGGGAATTGTGGAAATACTTTAATAGACACCCTGTAGATCAGTATGTAGAACAGTCAGGCTCAGTAACTGATTAAACTTCAGCCGAAATTTAAAATCGACAAAATCGCTTCCTATCTTAAATTGTGCTCCAAATTTGTTACTTCTCATCTAAGCATTTCCGAAAAAAGTGAGGCAAAATAATTAGTTAGAGATTTGTGGAGTAGGCCTACGTAAAGCAATATTGGTGCCTCATTATATTTTTGAGACTGGAGTATGTACGCCGACTGTCTATCTTATTCACTTTTCCCAAAATATCAAAAGAGGGTAGACGCCTCTGGCAGCTTTGGCTCAGAGCATCGAAGAGGACGAAATAGGATGAACGACGACAGACTAGCAAAGTTTTCTTCTGCCTTAATTGCAAACAAATGTTCTCTAGGTTTATAGTGCCATGATCATAGGCCACAGACAGCTCATTTTCGTATTTGCCGTAACTATGTACACGTTTTTGTACATTAAGAGAGAAACGTCATTTGCGTAGGTTTGGTCATCAAAATTGAATGAAGAGCCTTTCTAATTTCTATCATTATGTGGTCCCTCGGTCCCATTTTGTGAAAAAACAATACAACATAGTAAGTCATTTATTTACTACGTATGCAGTAGCCTGTTTGGCACTGTGTCTTGATGCGTACGTGGTCATCATCATAGGCTTACCCACTGGGCTACCCTGCGTGCAGAGTCTAGTTATAAACTACTACTGAAGACGAAGCTCTCTTTTAAGAAGTGAAGTCAAACGAATGCAAAGGGTACCACTGGGCAGGATTATAAGAAATAAGATCCGTCGCTTTGAGGGATCAGCCTTAACCTTATATAAGAAAACCACACAATTTATTTTCTCAGATACTTTTTTACTTTACTAAAGAGAATAACCTACTCCGTGAAATTGGTAGTATATCAGTTGCGGCAAACTTTCACTTTTGTTCGGCGTCTTGCAATTCATGTCTTGAATTTGATGTTTGAGACTTAAATGACGTCCAGGTGTAACCTTTCAAAACACAGAATGAAATCCTGCGCTAAGGTCTGATGTGAAAAAGTCGCTCTCCTGGCAAGTGCTCAACCACTGAGCAACCCTAAATTTCCTTCAATTTGAGAATAATAATATAGCTTTGAAGAGATCAGAAAATTATTGCGAAATCTCACATAAGGCGGCCATTTTGAATTTTCCGAGGCCCAAATTACTAAATCAATACAATATTTTCAATCTACTCTAAATTGCCTTTCATTTGAGTATAATAAAGCTATACTTCAGAAAATCTCAAAATTAGTGTAAATTCCTGTTTTCCCGATCCCCCACTTTCATATTAATACATAGGGACTGTTATATAGATATTAGAAAACATACCATTGTTCTAGTTTCATTATTCAGATTTAATTACTCATCGTTTATTCGTGTATGACGATTTAATTACAAATATGGCACTTAGCTGGCGTCAATTTAATAATTTAATAAAATGTATGAAATAAACCATTTCTATAGATTGTTTTGAAAAGCATTTTTCAATTAATCACAAAACTATTTAAAAAGAAGTATGTTATATGAAAAGCTTCTTTTGATGAGATCTATATTCTGATATGCAACATTTCGAGAAGATTACAGTAATTGGGAAATTTAAATTTAACAGCATAGTGACATGTTAAATTGTCAATGAGTGCTAGAGATTCTTATGCATCTACAGGGTGTCCCGAAAGAATGCCCCCCCCCTAGGCAGACATATACCAGTATCATCATTGTATGGGTCATATATCATTTTAAAGCTTATCCAAAGTTACATTGATTCGCCAAGTATCATGGTTCAACTCTCAAATATGAAAAAATTACAGGCATTTCAAAATTAAGTTCAATTTTACACCAAATCACTAGTCAATGTGTCCTCTCGGGCCATCTTAACAGCAGCAATTCTTTTCGGATCGGATGGATATTGAGTTGGAAAAAGAGAATGGTGAGGGTAGAAACTGTAAGGAAACTTTTCTTAAGTGCTTTAACAGGTTTTAAGAGGGTTATAAAATTCCACACCCCTATTTGAAGGGCTTTTATGGTCATATCTGAAAAGAATTGCTGCTGTTAACATGGCCAAGGGTGGGGGGGGGGTGGGCTCATTGACAAGTAATGTGGTGTAAAATTGAACTTTATTTTGGCAAAACACTAACTTTTAAAATGACTGCAACTTTTTCCCATTTGGGAGTTAAACCATGATACTTGGCAAATCAATGTAACTTTGGATAAGCTTTAAAATGATATATGACACATATTATGAGGACACTGGAATATGTCTGCCTAAGGGGGGGGGGGCATACTTTCGGGACACCCTGTATAACACCCTGCTAGAGCATGACGATAACGCCACCTCTGAAAACGAGGTTGGACGGCTACGTTTACTGATTTATCCAATAAAATGGAGGCTAAGGAACAGAAACCTAGGGTTGGTGCATTATTTTTTACTACTGTGTATCAATGAAAGGATGAACGATTTATGTAAGCATCTCATTCGGAGATGCATTTATGCCTTGGTCACATTTGCTCCCATCCATCGTTACCGTCCATACAATTCATACGTAGTCGTCTAACGACATTGCGTTTAAAACCTTATTATTTACAATATACACCACGTTCCTGTTCTGGATTTGTGATTTTAGGGCTTGTTTGTACACAGTTTACTTACAGTTAATAGTTTGAGTGGCTCTGAGGCACAAAATTCTGCTTCTAGTAAATTATCTTTTTGACCCAGTCTTTATAACCATCCATATATACGTCACCGAATGGAACTAGTTGAAAAGGAAATCTTATTTGTGAATCTTAATATCAATCTTGCTTATCCACTAAATTCGTGGGAAGCCTCCTGGCATTATGATCCAATATGAAGTTACGGAAAAGAGCCCAACGAACGTTCTACACTCAGAATGATCGATTTTCCAATGTAACCATAGCATGTATGTTCGTGTTCATCCAAACAAAATATTATAACAACTATTATCATTACATTTTTTAGCAATTTTAACACCTGAGCAGTCATTACAATACAATTTGTGTATATACTAACCCATTATGATAATGCACGAAGGTTTTGCCTTCGTGCATTATGTGTATGGGTTAGTATATACAGTCATGCTTTTATATTTCCAATATAGCATGATACATGATTCTTTTCCTTATAAAAATAAATAAATGAAATAAACTAAATTTTGTGAGTGTCTAAAATTTTATTTCATTCCAGTCATTAATAATTTATTTTTCATACAATTTTTACACTTCCAAAATTTCATCAAAAGTATGCAAAATACATGTACATTTACAAGTATCTAATAATAATTGGTGGATTTACTATTATGGACTAAAATTCTACTGCATTGTGGTGGGTCCATAAAGTCCCTTGCACTGCATATATGGGGTGTCCATAAAGTCACTTTCCACTTTACATATACTTTGTATTGTAATTGTAATTGTAAGGAGACTTTATGGATACCCTGTATATCTCATCCAAATGCAGTACTTCAATGAACCGTACCACAAAACATGCAAAAGCAATAGCAAAACTACAAATCACATCACAGTCATTACAATACACTAAAAAACATGAACAGAAAGTATTTGTGCTTATATCAAGACTACCAAATGTAGAATCCAATATTGAATGGGTTGGTGTCCAAATGTTTAATCCCATATTAACACATAAAATATGGGATTTTACATTTGGACACCAGTCCATACAATATAGGATTCTACATTTGGACACATACTTGACAAGTATGTATATATTAAAAAATTAAAGTAATAAAAAAATAAAAATCAGCATATTTTTTCAAAATATTAGAAGTCTGGATTTTTTGAGGAAAAATCAGGGTGAAAATCAGAATTTGAGTGAAAAAATCGGGAGAAAATCAGGATTTCTAGAAAGAAATCGGGAGAAAAATCGAGGGTACAAAAACTATATCAACAATTGAAAAAAGGGACGTTTTCTTAAAATCGGGATATTTTACGACAAAATCCAGACATTTCCTTAAAATTGGGATAAAAATCAGGAGTTTGAAAAAAAATTGGGATGAGAAATAAAAAGCCAGGATTTCTCCTGATTTAAATCGGGATTTGACAGGTGAGGGACACCAGTCTATACAATATGGGATTCTACATTTGGTAATCTTGATATAAGCACAAATACTATCTGTACATGTATATCCATTTGTAACTTTAATAAATTATACAACTGCATTCTACACAGTGGGGTCTTTATCAACCTTGATATCTTGGTTTAACAGCACTTGGATGGATCTTAGACAAGTCAAATCTTTGAAGGGGAAAAAATTGTAAAATGTACATCTAGACAATGCAAATCTGAATTAAAATACAGTTTATACATGATGTATAATATTCTCTATCGAGTCTATCATCCTCTGAACAAAGGGCTACATAATTCTCCATTTCGGAGTTTGCTCATGAATCGAGAAGGCACGAAAATATATACTTGACCTAGATAATAGCGACACATCTTCTTTGGTCAACTGCTCATTCGTTTGTTGGTTTTCAAAGAAACTTTATAATGTAATTTGAAGAGGAGTACTTTTATTCAGCTGTTGAATTGATATTGCAGTTTATAGTGGAGTTAGGATGGAATGAAAGGTTGGAAAGTCAAAAGAACTTATTTTTTCCAATATGGCGACTAGTCAACTGATCACATGACCTTCTCTATCGGAAAATATTACCTCTCTTCACACATTTTTTTTTCACAACGATGTGAGCCAATACAATGATACAAATATCTGCTATATAAAGGTTATGAAAAGACCAATTGATACTTTTTTTGTCCAATCGGATAGAGATTTGATCGAACATAGCAACTGAAAAATAGGTGAGTAAATCCACATGCTAAACCAATGAGGGAAAAACAAGGAATTAGAAATTTGTTTCCCTCCGAATTGCATCATGAGTAATATTTTGTCCATATAAGGAAAAACTTCCATGTCTCCTCGATTGAAGAGCGAATCGTGAATGGGAGAATTCTTGAGCCATGTTGTCGGAGGATGGAGTCTTAGTCTATACAATAAATGTAAAATGCCATTTTTGCACATTTTTTGGCACAATAAGATCAGTGTTGTTTACTGCCCTCTGACTAGAATCAATCAATTTACAGATTTGAGTTCAAACTATCGAGAGAGCACTGCAGAGCCACACAAATATGAATTTAAACATTGGTACTACTGGGCAAAAATTAATTGATTGGCTCATGAGTAAAGATCTATTGGTTTTGTAAAGAGTCTGAAAATCAACTACTCTTGCAGAGGGCTACACACAGGTCAACTTCCAAATATGGGTATGACTGCGATAATAAATATGGGCATGACTGCGATAATAAATATGACACTGGCCATTGTTATCTTAATATAAGGTCAGTTGTTTACTAAAACCACTTTAGCTGTGCATGTTTGTAGTTCCCAGAGACATCGTATGATATAAGCACCTTAGTATTTTACTGACTGGTAATTCTGCACATGTGAATACAGTTACTCCTGCAGTGTAGGTCTAGTTATCAATGCCTGGAAAAGAAACATGTTTATCAGGGTATATTTTAAGTTAGTTCTGTTGATTGTGAAAGTAAACATTCCCCTACCAAATATTAATTGTTTGTAGGTGTATTTCAATATACATATCAGGGGCGTAGCCAGCAAATGGCAAGGGGGTGCGATTTTTGGGTTTGCATCACTTCGAGCAAAGCGAGCCCCAAAAAGGTGAAGGGTACAAGGATTTTTAAATTTACATTGTATATGGTGTATTCTAAGCATTTCAAACTGTTATTTGTTGTTTTTTCAACAAATTTTGGGGGTGAGGGACCGGGGGGTGGGGTATCACACCCATCGCACCTTCCCTGGCTATGCCCATGCATATATCAATCGCTAAATACCTCAATAATCAATTTTATAACAGCTAATTTAGTCCTGTACATATTCTAACTTATCAGAGTCTCCCCTTATCTAATGCTTGAGACTGCTGATTACTCAAAGGGATAATACAGGAATTGGGTGTCACAAAGCCATCCCACAATGTCTTGTCCTCATTAACTTAAAATAATCAGACTTTAAAAAACTCACCGTCCATTTCAGTGGCAGCTTATCTGCCTCCAGGACACAATTCACCAGTGAGAATATCGTTATCTCCTGTTTCAGTTCATTAGGGTGCTGCTCATCTGCTGGCCATGTTAATGTTAATACTGGCTTCTTGTGGTCCTTCTGAAACTTCCAGTCAGATAGGCCCAGTTTCTACAGCAGAAATAAAGTCACAACTTAACATCAGCTCAATGTTTGCATACAACAAGCAGCCAACAACCTGCCACCACCCATCCTGCAAACTGATCTCTATATAACAAGCACCTAAGGATGCAGTAAAAACCAAGAAAATATGATATGTTCAGAGGGAAAAAATGCTTAATGCTCCTGAGGATGTGTTACAAAGATTTAAGCTGGTCTAAACTCCATTAGCACAATCCATGCTATTTTCCTATTCCTATACATACAATACTGAAATAATCAGTTGGCTGATAAAAACTGACTGGCTCCATTGCCTACTGGTAAGCACTTAAAACACACCATAGAGCTTTAGCATAGGTACAAAATATTTTGAGGAAAATGTGTGACATACACGGCATCCGCGTGAAAAGTCAGTATGATATGTGTTGTTTTTTTTGGCGTTTTCGACAATAATCAGGTAAAATGCTTAAAATTGGCGTGACTTCAAATTTTCCAGCAAATGAGTGACAAATACGCAAATTGCTGGACAGTTGGATGGCCTGCTGCTATTTTCACAAAATCCCTGTACTACCTTTTCAGTTATTGCAAAATCATTAAATAAAAATGGTCGCTCACTAGCCAAATTGTCATAAGAAAGTGTAATATGCTTCTAAGTAGGCACATATAAAATTTAAACAAAATCGCACGCACATACATGTAAATGGTGGCCATTTTTCGAAAAATGGCTGCCTACTAGCCAAAGTGTCATAAGAAAGTGTGCCATGCTAATGTGCCATATCAAATATGAACAAAATCCTTCTATTAGTTTATTTTAGTAACAGCAAAAATCGTAAATTTTTCAAGATGGCTGCCATGCGTTTCTTAAATATCTACATTTCTCGCTTTATTAATGTCCTATATAACTTTTTACATTTAAAACACATTGCTATTTTACAGTTTTATATATTGTATCTAAATTATACTGTAATATCGGCACTAAAATGACCGCCATTTTGAAACGAGTGGTCATTTTGAAAATCAGCTTTAAAGCAGAACTTTAGCAGATGGACGTATTTGAGTTATTGCCCGGACAGACGGATGGATGTATGTATGTACGTACAGATGGACGGACAGACAGAGGGACGGACAGATGGACGGAGGCATTCCCTATATCCCTCCTAACTTCATTCGATGGAATAATAAAAATACAAGCACTAGTTGTTAAAAATCCATTCTATAATATAAATGAATCATTCAATGATCTATGCTTGATCTGATCTATCATTTAATATCATCAATGATGTTTCATTCCATAATTGAATTCCAAATTGAATTAAGTCTATCAATTACAATATCGTGACATAATCCCATCATAATAACTGGAGGTGAAAATGAATGAGTCACTTACCTCACAATAGACTCTTTTAACCACTCCTAGCCTCAACATGACAACATCAAATGCCTTGTCAAGTACCCCCATCACCATTCCATGCTCCTCTAGTGGACCACTCTCCTGAAAGAACACATACAGTGGTAAATATTGCACTCCAAATGTTGATTTTCAAACTGTCAAGCATCACTGAAAATTTGAAGTTAATGGTTTACATTGAAACATGGTCAAAATTTCCGGATGGCTTGCTTAAAAATTATGCACCATACATTGGGTACACACCCTAATTCCTTATACTCATTTTCAAAATAAATTGTACCATGGGTACTGAGCTCACATGGTGTTGCTCAAAAGTGAATGATGGCTAAAATGGCAGAAAATAAAACAAATGGATATGATTTTTTGCCAATTTTTTGTAACAAAATTATTTCATACAACTACTCTTTACAGTGACATGACTTTTTACAATGCAGGACACCTAAAATTATTTGTAAAGCTATGGATGGATGGACTGACAGACAGACGGATGAACGGACAGACGAGTGAGTGATTGCAATAGCTCACCATGAGACCTAAAAAAATCAGGTCAAGTTGAGAAAGTAAGTCAAATTGTCCTTAGTACTTTGTCCATTTTTTCAAAATACCATTTGAAAGGTGAGAGTATCAGCTTTAAAGGGTTCCGATAAGCTTCCCGTATAAAATACAATATGGCGGCTCCAGGCGAGTCACCTGGATCAGTCCATTTTTAAGAAATTAGGGGAGTTTAATTGAAATTGTCTTGGAGATAAAGTAATCCGTTTATTATGATTCTGAAAACATTATCGAGAGAGTGATTATTCAAAGAATGCATGTACAACAGCCAATATAAATCCTTGTATTAGAACTGCTTTGCTTCATTTGGAGGATACTTCATATGTCAAGCTGTGTACTAATACGTTATTGAAATTTAGTTGTAAATTTTCCTTATTATACACTAATAGAAGATCCCGAAACTTCACCCATAAATGTGAAAATGATTTGTCAAAATAAAAATCTTCCTTTTATAAATGTGTGACGATAAATAATATAATAATGGTATATAACAGTTAGAGGTGTTGACACAACGGCCTCGAGCCTGTGAACCCTTGAGTATTATTTCGGGATCGGGCCTTTTATACTAAATGGTGAGCAACACCAGAAACCAGCGTTCGATTTGCTAAACGATATGTGTGACCCTTTAAGGATCTGGCCTGCTAATGGAGGTTTACCATTTACTGAATTGATATTTGGATAATTTATGGACTTATTGTTTAAGCAATGTTATATTGTTAAAAGGATGAAATTTGTTAATATACTTATTACACAAATAAGTTTTGTTTACACAGTTGATATAATAATATATTTTTCTTGTAGGTTAAAATATTATGCATAAACATAATAGAATAGACTGTAGTATACAAGATATGATTTTTATGTCACAGAGTATATACATTCTCTATACTTATTCAAAACATCCATACTACAAAGAAACTAGAAAAACAGCAACTCCACAGAGTAGCAAATCCCATCGAACAAAACATATTTTGCTTCTTCAGGGTAGCTTCTTTATTCCTAGGCATCAGCATATAAAATTTGAACCAAATCCTTCAACTAGTATTTGAGATATCAAAGAATACGTTTTTTTAAGAAAAATGGCCGCCAGTTTGGTACTTAGCAGCCATTCTAAAAAGCTCTTCTTCAGCGTAGCTCCTTTATCCCTAGGCATCAGCATATAAAATTTGAACCAAATCCTTCAACTAGGATTCGTTCACTGGTATTTGAGTTCTCAAAGATTACATTTTTTTACGAAAAATGCCCGCCATTTTGATATTTAGCAGCCATTTTGAAAATCTCTTCTTCAGGGTAGTTTCTTTGTCCCTAGGCATCAGCATATAAAATTTGAACCAAATCCATTCACTGGTATTTGAATTATATATTAGTAGCCATTTTGAAAATCTCTTCTTCAGGGTAGCTCCTTTGTTCCTAGGCATGAACATATAAAATTGGAACCAAATCTGTCAACTAATATTTGAGTTGTCAAAGATTACGTTTTTTTTATGAAAAATGGCGGCCATTTGGAAATTCAGCCGGTATCTTGAAAATTCTTTCTTGAACAAATCTACTTTGTCCCTAGGCATCATATAAAATTTGAACCAAATCCATTCACTGGTATTTGAGTTATCAAAGATTACAATTTCAACGAATATGGCAACCATTTTGAAATTCGGCAGCCATCTTGAAAATCTCTTCTTCAGCATAGAGCCTTTGTCCCTAGGCATCAGCGTATAATATTTGAACCAGATCTGTCTACAAGTATTTGAGTAGATTATATTTTTTAAGCGGCCATATTGAAAATTCCTTCTCAAGCAGAAGTTTTATCGCCATAAGGCATAAGCCTATAAAATTTGAATCAAATTCGTTCACCAGTATTTGAGTTATCACCCGGACAAACGGACCTATATCCTCCTCGAACTTCGTTCGGTGGGATAATAAAATATGACTTGTTGTATAACAAGTTTTCTGATTTTCTGAGTCAAAGTCAACTCTTCTGGCACTTTTGACAAGCTTATACATTTGCACACGTCAGATATATGTTCACAAAGATACCTGATGTCAAAAGAGAGGTTAAAATAGAGAAGTTAGCGAAAACTGATGAGCATTTTGTATTTACATAATTTGACTATATTTTGTTATCTGCATAAAAGTACCTTTTTCAGAAGCATGCGGAATTGTGGCACCACGACACCATAAACTATTAAACTTACAGAATGCTCAATAGTATGCAGAAGTGCAGCAAAAAATAAAACTTTGAGTTTCAATTGAAGAGATGAACTTTGTTCAGTGTAAAACCAGATTTGGGCAGCCATTAGAGGAACAGATAAAACCAGATATGTGAGTATTGTACTGAACATTAATATAGTGGCCTTAACCTCTGACCTTTGGATCGTGACCCTTAATGCATTTAGCCAACCAGGTTTATCTGCTAAATTAACATTTTTACGAATGTTAAATTTCTTGCGTGCTCTACTGTGATTGAATAGGTGTCTAGATGTAATTGAGCTGAGGACAACAATTAGTAACCATGGTAACAAATACACAAGTATTCCAAAAATTATGAAATACTTTTGATGCACTGACATTTTACGTAAGCTAAATAATTCAAAGTCACACACATGCCCTTTAGTATTTTCCAAAACAAGTACTTGCAATGTGAACCACAAACCCAATATTACAATGGTGACAAAAAATCCGAGATATATATTGGTACTAAATTTTTGCATGAGAAACCTTCTGTAACTGAATGGCTTACAAATTGCAAAGTATCTATCCAGTGAAGAGAAGACTTTTATGAATGTAGACAAAGTGGCGCATACAAATTGGAGAACAGATATGACCTGACAAAAATATAACATGAAGGTGTATAAGTACATGAAAGAACTCACCAGAGCCACTACAGAGGAACAAAATGCAAGAAGTAAATATACATTTTGGGTAATAATCAAACATACTATGTAACATCTAGAAGGATGCGGCTTGGCTTTGGCCATTGCAAACAGAGTAAGACAATTTCCTAGCAAACCTAAACAAGCAATACAACTAAATACATAATAATATGCAGCTGAAAAAGTCTCCATGTCATCTTGTCCTTCAACATTCTTCAAAGCACAATCCTTTGGAGTGTCCACTTGTGAATATTTCCACCCAGGTCTCATCATACAATGTTTCATCACAATCTCATCGGTCAATTCTGTTTCATTCTCAATTTTGCATCTTATTGTCAAATATGCATCTTGATCAATTCCAGATGTGCCTTCTATACAGACAAATATGATTGGAACAGATGAGTTTTGTTGATCTTTTGCTTCCTTCTCTGCCTCCTTTACAAGCTGCTCATTGGTCACTTGCCTAAAGTAAGGGACATCTGGTTTACAATAGTGGTTAGCTTCAGGGGGAATTAGCAGTACAGCATACACACCATCCTCTTCAACATAGTCATACTTAGCCATACAGGCATCAGCCAATGGATAATAATTCTGGCGGGTAATCACCAAATCTTTTGGAATACTGCATGGGAATTTCTTTTCTATGTAAGGTTTTGCTTCGTTTAAAGTGCTAAACAGTGCAACCATACAAGATGTCATCCAAGGATTTTCAGTACCACTTTCAAAAGTCCAAGACTGAATAGCCCCAGTCTCATCTGTGGCTGTGACGTTAGATTGTTCCAAAATGATCACATCTTTGGCTGTGACACTAGATTGTTCCAAACTTATTACATCTGTGGTTGTGATATTAGATTGTTCCAAACTTATCGCATCTGTGGTTGTGATATTAGATTGTTCCAAACTTATCACATCTGTGGTTGTGATATTAGATTGTTCTAAACTTATCGCATCTGTGGTTGTGATATTAGATTGTTCCAAACTTATCACATCTGTAGTTGTGATATTAGATTGTTCCAAACTTATCACATCTGTGGTTGTGATATTAAATTGTTCAAAACTTATCGCATCTGTGGTTGTGATATTAGATTGTTGCAAACTTATCGCATCTGTAGTTGTGATTTTAGATTGTTCCAAACTTATCACATCTGTGGTTGTGATATTAGATTGTTCCAAACTTATCACATCTGTGGTTGTGATATTAAATTTTTCAAAACTTATCGCATCTGTGGTTGTGATATTAGATTGTTCCAAACTTATCGCATCTATAGTTGTGATATTAGATTTTTCCAAACTTATCACATCTGTGGTTGTGATATTAAATTGTTCAAAACTTATCGCATCTGTGGTTATGATATTAGATTGTTCCAAACTTATCGCATCTATAGTTGTGATATTAGATTGTTCCAAACTTATCACATCTGTGGTTGTGATATTAAATTGTTCAAAACTTATCACATCTGTAGTTGTGATATTAGATTGTTCCAAACGTATCGCATCTGTGGTTGTGATATTAGATTGTTCCAAACTTATCACATTTGTGGTTGTAATATTAAATTGTTCCAAACTTATCGCATCTGTGGTTGTGATATTAGATTGTTCCAAATTTATCACATCTGCAGTTGTGATATTAGATTGTTCCAAACTTATCACATCTGTGGTTGTGATGTTAGATTTTTCCAAACTGATCCTATTTGTGGCTATGTCATAAAACGGCTCCAAAATGATCACATCTTTGGATGTAACATTAGATTGTTTAAGACTAATCACATCTGTGGTTGTGATATTAGATTGTTGTGACTTCTGAAGAAAGACACTGATCAAAATGACAAGAAAAATCATTATGATGCAATTCGATCTATCTTGCTATAGTATGTATAAGATTTGAATTTTAAAGTTTTTTGAATTCCAGCTTCTTTTCATTTATTGAATATGTGAAGAATAAAAGCTATACATGTATGTTGCATATGCATTGTTGATTTGGTATAATGTTATACTTGCATCAGCACAATTTATAAGCTAAGAACAGGGTAACACAAAAGTTAAGGTAGTTTTGGTTTCATGACTACTGTTTTAGCCAAAATATCTTAATGTTTCACTATTTTGGCAGGATGTAACGTTTTTCAACAAGGTGGTATGTAATTTTCAGATTATTACCACCGTTTATGCCCAGGGCTGAATGAAAAGTATATGCACTAAACGATATCTCATTTCGGACTGAAATATCATTATTGGTCTGCCACTACGGCCCGCCACTACGGCCCGCAATTACGGCCCGCCACTATAACGGCACATATTGCTAAGTTCAATTTAGTAAAATAGTAGCCTTCTAAACTAGCACTAATACCCCTAGAACAGTCCCGGCAAGGTGGTTATAATATAAGTTGATACATTTCATTGTTGGGGTAGTCTCAGATTTACAAGTATCACTGAATATTTTAATTTACAATGTTTTCAAAATTTTTATGTACCCTGTAGTGTAGTTATACACATAACTGCGTCACTTACTGATTATATATTGTACCTACATAACTGCGTCATTCACTAATTGCCCTTCTCAGTGCCCCTTCTCATATACTACAATTATTATATGATTTAATGATCTGCATTATCACACTATGACTGTATAACTTGGAATTCATGCTACCTGAAACGTATAATATGTAAGGAACTCCAAATGAACCTCAATACCAGTAGATTTCAATTACTGCTTCAGTAATTATACTAGAATTAGAATTGAACAATACATATTAGTGCTCTTAGCTAACATACTTGGTAACCCTAACATTATTTCATAGACGTCAAATGATTCACATGCACGTCTGGGCACACTGGGCATCAAAAAGATTCTTCTGAATACTTTTGAACTTAATGACATTTTGATTTTGCTATCATACTAAAAAGTGGTCATTTTGGGAAACCAAATTTATTCAATCAAAACAAAGAGAATCAAGCAAAAATTGTATTTTCCAATTTTAAAACTAACCTTGATCTAGAAGTACCCAGATGTGAAACAAGAGAAAGTTTTTATTTGATTGGCAATTTCAAAGTTTTAGGAGTAGTTAACACAAAACTTAAAGTGTGTAATAAATGCAGACATAATATTGGCCTTACAAGACTGTACATTGGCGTAACATTTTTGGGGTTTCAGTCGGGGGGGGGGAGGAAAGATTTGTTTTTAATTTTGCAAATTGATTTAACTGTAATTTTGCACCCATCGCACCCCTTCTTGCTATGCCTATGCTGTATATGGATACAAGGCACTTTAACATGATAAAATGTATATTATGGGTTCAATCTTTAGTCAGATTTGAATTTCTGAGAACTTGGAGATGATTTTGAAAAAAAAGAATTTGTCTATTTGAAGCAAGTTGAAAAAATATCTTTGTGACCTTTTTTGACCTTGAGAAGGTCATTGAAGGTCAAATCTAAAATCTTAAGTCAGATTTGAACTTCTGATAACTTGTAGATGATTTTGATAGAAAATTGGTCAATTTGAAGCAAGCTGAAAAATAGCTTTTTAACTTTTTTTTTACCTTGAAAAGATTATTGAAGGTCAAATATTAAATATAAAGTCAGATTTGAACTTCTGAAAATTTGTAGGTGATTTTTGAAGAAAAATTGAAGTCAGCCTAAACAGTATTTGTTAAGTTATTGGAAGTTGTAAGAATTCGTTACAGACACCGATCATCAACCAACGGTCATCAATTATGGATATATTATCTAGCCTGCCATAGATCTTGAAGGATGTCTTACTTATTTGTCGTGTGATACTTTTCATAGTACTTGTTTGTGTAGAAATCAATATGTATGGAGATAATCATGTTTTTATTTTTGAGTTATTTCTTTAAATCATCAATAAAAAGTACAAAATAAGTATTTTTTGGAATGTGTACATTCTCCAATTTTGAAAACCAAGGCAATGCTTATGTATGAAATATGGGAAGTTGCCTACCCTTCTAGTTGAAAGCCCAACTGAAAAATAGGCTAGTGTTAATACTTACTAACATACCTTCTTTATGTCATGTAACGACGTTACGTAGAGTAACTAGAAAAACAGCAACTCCACGGAGTAGCAAATCCCACCGAACAAAACATGTTTTGATAAAAAAATTGAGCCAAATTCATCCACTGGTATTTGAATTATCAAAGATTATGTCTTTATGAAACATGGTTGCAATTTTGAAATTCAGCTGTCATCTTTAGATTTCTTCTTTAGCAGAGAATGTCCGTCCAATGGTATCTGGGTTATCAAAGGTTACTTTCTCAATGAAAAATGGCAGCCATTTTGAAATTCAGCTATCGCCTTTGAAATTTCTTCTGGCGCAGATCTCCTTTTTCCCTAAACATCAGCATATAAAATTGGAATCAAATCCATCCACTAGTATTTGAGTTATCATTAATTACGTTTTTTTTACGAAAAATGGCGGCCATTTTGAAATTCAGTGGCCATCTTGAAAATTCATTTTTGAGCAGAACTTCTTTGTCTCTAGGCATTAGCATATAGAATTTGAACCAAATCCGTCAACTGGTATTTGAGTTATCAAAGGTTACGTTCTTTTATGAAAAATGGCGGCCATTTTGAAATTTAGCTACCACCTTGAAAATCCCTTCTCAAGCAGAGCTCCTATGTTCCTAGGCATCATCATGTAAAATTTGAACTAAATCCATTCAATGGTAATTGAGTTATCAAAGATAATGTTTTTTTATGAAAAATGGCCGCCATTTTGATATTTAGCTGCCATCTTGAAAATCCTTTCTTGAGCAGAGCTCCTATGCCCCTAGGCATCAGCATCTAAATTTAAACCAAATCCATTCAATGGTATTTGAGTTATCGAAGATAACGTTTTTTTACGAAAAATGGCCGCCATTTTGAAATTTAGCTGCCATTTTGAAAATCCTTTCTCGAGCAGAGCTCCTATGTCCCTAGGCATCAGCATCTAAAATTTGAACCAAATCCATTCAATGGTCTTTGAGTTATCAAAGATAACGTTCTTTTACGAAAAATGGCCGCCATTTTGAAATTTGGTGGCCATCTTGAAAATGTCTTCTTGAGCAAGGCTCCTTTGTACCAAGGCAACAGCATATAAAATTTGAACCAAATCCATCCACCAGCATTTGAGTTATTAAAGATTATATTTTTTCCGAAAAATGGCCGCCATTTTGAATTAAGCGGCCATATTGAAAATTCCTTCTCGAGCAGAGGTCTTACACCCATAAGGCATAAGCCTATAAAATTTGAATGAAATCCGTCAACCGGTATTTGAGTTATTGCCCGGACACACGAACGGACGGACGGACGAACGGACGGACGAACAGACGGACGGACGAACGGACGGACGGACGGCTTTTCTATATCCCCCTCGAACTTTGTTCGGTGGGATAACTAAGACCTTTCACTTTAGAAACCATTTATAAAATTCAGGAAAGTGGGGTTGTTCTCTGAATGTAATGGCCATTTTGACTGATTACTGTTATTTTAACATATAACACTTCTGGCAAATGTACAACTGCCATCTTTTAAATAAAGCTAAAAGTATTCCATAAAATGCCCACTCTTGTTTATTTACTGCTGTCCAAATAAAAAAATTGATTTACAAAGTTAAACAACTCAACTAAAATGAGCACTGAAAATCTTTATTAATGGAACATGAACTGCAGATGTTAAGCAATGGTATGCTGAATCAAAGCTTATTGTAAATAACAATTTGAACTAAAACAAACATGACATTACTTAAACAGCCTAATTAGATCTTCTTATCACATCAGCTATTATCTAAAAATCTAAACTATCTTGTTTGAATCAAAGCT